CTTATACAAAATTATGTGTTCTTCATTAAGCCGTACCTGCTGGTGTCATACTAAAAGAAAAATAATCTTATCGTATGAGAAAAAAATATTATAAAATATTATGTTCTAAAATATAGTAATATCAAGTCTGATGTAATATTTACATTTTAAATCAATAGAAACAGCGAGTTACATTCAGAATATTAATAAATGAGATAAATGTGTTAATTGAGTAAAAAATAAATTTAATGAAAATAATTACATAGAACTTGGAAATTGTCGAAACTTACTAAAACCTTCTAATAGATAATAAAAAGGACTTTTAACTTAACGCCTTTACCTAACTTTTTTGTAGTCTTGGTTTATTGTGAAGAGATGGAAGGTCTTTAAAAAATCTGCATAAGGTTGATGCTATGCATTGAGTTTGTTTACAACAAACTCAAAGCGCATATTGGTGCATTGCGTATATGCATTGAGCATAACAAGCTCAAAAAATATTGCATGTTGCACATATTTTTGATAATGGGCAGGATTCTTAGCGTTATGCAAAACTAGCTCTTAGGCTGGTTTTGCTAACTGGAAACTTTGTTAATGTTACTAGAAAAGAAATTTAATTTTTGAAGTCAATCAAATTTTTTTAAATAGCTTAAAAAATTAAGCAAATATACAAAGTGTTCAATAGCATTTGGAGGACCTTAGACATGGAATTATTTTCAGAAAAAAATGCTAAATAAGGTATGATGAAATCATTAAACTCAAGTAAGTTTCAAGCAAAAACACATACTCAATTTTGAGGAACAGTAGTAACTCCGATGAGATTTTTCTTCACAGTTATAATTTTAAGTCTTCAAAAAAAGTAATTTTTTACTTATCCTTTTAGTTATTTATGTATAGGTTTATATATTTTAAATCTTTGAGTATTTATATCGAAAACCTTTCATCTTATTACTACTTGCAGTTTATTAGAACGTTTTGGCGATATTTATTTTTTAAGGGGCTCTTTGAAAAGATTGAAGTGGTATTGCATCACCCATATATTCTTTGTGTCCCAGTCTGTTTTTTAAATTTTCTTGTTTGTTTATATTATTTTTTTAGGTAAAACTCTTAGGTAACTTCTTTTGTTAAACAGTAATATATATACTGCTAAAAAAAAATAGTCTGGAATTTAGTAGTTTCATTTAATTTAATTTAAACTGTTTAAATTATTGCACTTTTTTATGAGCTTTTTGAGACCAGAAAATGTTAAACCTTAAAGTATAAAATCATCCACACTTGTTATTACACCAGTAAAGTTACAATATATTGATGTTCCGACAATGTCTTGATTTTTATTGGTTTTGAGTAAACTTTTAGTCTGTTAAAGAAGTGAAAGAGTTAAACATTTTTTTACTTCTTGTAATTTCTTTCAAAAAGAACTTGATTTGCAACTCTAATATAAGTTAAAGAAGTGAAAGAATTAAACATTTTTTTACTTCTTGTAAATCGAGATATTTTCTTTCAAAAAGAACTTGATTTGCAACTCTAATATAAGTTAAAGAAGTGAAAGAGTTAAACATTTTTTTACTTCTTGTAAATCGAGATATTTTCTTTCAAAAAGAACTTGATTTGCAACTCTAATATAAGTTAAAGAAGTGAAAGAATTAAACATTTTTTTACTTCTTGTAAATCGAGATATTTTCTTTCAAAAAGAACTTAATTTGCAACTCTAATATAAGTAAATAGTAAACGCTACGTTTAGAGTAAAACTCTAAACGTAGCGTTCAAATGTTATTATTAAAACCGAATTGTAAGAGGGTTAGTAACCGGGCATATAATTAAGATTAAGTTATCAAGAACGTATGTATAATTGTATAATGCTAATACTTTTGTTTTATACTAAAATTGTATACTACTAATATTTGATCGAGCTATCTAAAGATTTTTTTACGAATAAACAAAGAATACAGTAATTAATGTCGATATTGATTTTGGTGTTCATCCATACTTTAATGAAGTAAATATAAAACTCTGTTAGACTTTTTGTTAAAATATAAACTTTGCGTATTTAAAATATTATGTCCTTAAAAATCCTTAAAAAATTTTTAGTTTTAGTTGTGAAATAGCCATAGTTATATTTTCTTTAGTTATTTTTGCATTATCGTATTTTGCACATGGCGACTTTGATTACAACGTATTGTTATAAAAAAAACAATTTTTAAAAGCAAGTTTCTTTATTGTTGTGTTCAAAGTTACGTTTATGAAATTTGATTTACGTCATTTTATTTTATTTTAGTTTTATGCCAGACTGCAGGATTGTGTGTGTTTACAAGAGATGTATGGAATTATTCCACTAAATTTGCATATTCATACTATTTCGGATGGCTTTCAGTATTTTTTTCGATTTTGTCTGCAATTCTGCGATTCTACTTGACAAAATCGGAATTTCAGTCCATATAGTTTGTTTAAAAAAAGTAAATGTTTGTAGTTTCTTTTTTATATTATTTAAAAAAAGTTGATTTTTTTATGTTTTTTTATTGGCGCTGTTAAAAATGATAGCAAGGTAAATGTTTTTTTTTAAACTCTTTAAAATAAAAAAATTTTTGATTTAATAGCTAAAACGGTTTTTTATTAAACGTAACTTTAAAATGAATACCAACAATGTAGTTTGACTTTTATTTTGAAATAAAACTTTATCGTAGTTTAAAATAATATCTTATTTCTTAGCACTTCATTTAATACTCCCAGTTTCAATTTATAAATTAGTTAAAGTATGGCCATAGTATAAGTACTTATATAAATTTTAATAATTTTAGTAGCATAAAATCAATATCAGTTAAACAGGACAGTAAAAGCTTGTTAAATTTTTTTTTAAGAGGTTTTACAACTTAAAAGTAAAATGATTTATCTTTAAGTAAAAAAAACAAATTTAGTTTTTAGATCTTCTTTAAGTGTAAAAATACTGTACATTAAATCTTATATCTTAGCTTAAAAGCACTTAAAAAGACCAGTTTTGTTATAATTCGAGAAGAATTATTACTTTTTTAATTTGAAATACAAAAAAAACCTAACAACAAAGTGTGTTATAGATGTTTTCGATAACGAGAAATATGAAAAGGTTCAAATACTGAAATAATTAGGACCATCTCCTAATAATTGTAAAAAAATGTTTGATTTTAGATAAAAAAAGAAAACAAAACGCTAAATTGGAGACCTTTAAGTCATTCAATAGAAGTAATTCCAACTAAAAACGCAAAAATTAACATACACTTTATTCTACTTTTTATTTTAAACTTTACTTTATTATAAGCATTGCGAACCCGCACAACATCTTTGTAATTGTATCTATATTTGCCATTACTTTATGCATAAACCAGTTATTAATAAAAAAATTGTTTTTAGACTGTGCCACACCAATATTAACACTTTTTAATAATGCGCGTAAACCCTAAACCCGACGAGATACTAGATTTTTAATCTGATTAGCCGCAATATTGAAATGCTTATGACAATGAATCCCAATTGATATATTACAAGATATATTAAAAACCATTCAAATATCATCTTGATAAAAATCTTCCCGTTAAAGTTTAATATTTAATGTTCGTTTAGAAAGTTGTTTTATCTAGTTACTAGGCTTTTCTAAAGTTGAAAGAGCGCATTGTCAAAATGTATAAAAAAAACATCTACCTAGCCGGTTAAAACTTTTTACTATGTGAAATTTAATTATTATTTATTAGTTTAAAAATATTTGATAAACTATAATAGAAATATAAAGATCATATTATAATAGAAAAAAGGTTAGCAATTTATATATTACATTCTTATAACGATTTAAAAATTGAAAAAAATCACTCCTTTTAAATTTTTAAATCGTTTACTTATTGTTTGTTTTAAGTTTTCTTTTAGGTGGTAAGCTAGTACAAAAAACTATTTGCCTTTAATATTGTTGTTTGATACTGAAACAAATATATACAAGAGCCATCATAAAAATAAATATTTCAAACCAAAAAAAATTAAAAAAATTAATTATTTTTGATGAGTTAGCAAAAATTCAAAGAATTAACTAAAAAACAAAACATCTACTACTGGTATGAAATTTGCTACAGTAAAACAATTTATCCTTAACTACCCAGCCGGCAAATAACGTTGAAATAACGTTGAAATATCATTGAAACCTAACGTTGAATTAACGTTGGTTTAACCTTTAGAATGAAAGTTTTTTTCAACGTTGATTTATCAACGTTAAATCAACGTTAGGTTCAAACGTTATATCAACGTTGATTCGACGCGAAAAAACGTTACAACAACGTTGAATTTACGTTGATACAACGTTTAAAATGATAGTGTTTAACGTTGATTTATCAACGTTAAACGACTGTAAAACGCTTTTTCACCATCAAAACGTGCTATGAATGTCAAAATGTATATATGTATGTAAACGTGCTATGTGCGTCAAAATATGATCACCATCAAAACTTACTATGCATGTACATTAGTGTTACTGTACGTTATCAATGTATATTATGGATATTAAATCTTTTCATAGTCTATACTTAGACTATTTAGAACTTTTTCAGTTTAGTTTAGTTAAAAAAGCTAGGTATGATTAAAGAAAGAGATAAAACTTGTTTTATTTAAAAATACATATTCAAATATTACATATAATTACATGTAATTGAATAAAATCTACACAAATTTCTTCTCTTTTCCACCACCTTTTTGAAATAAAGCGTAACTTAGAAAGTCAAACAATGTTCCATTAACCGAGGGTTCTTTTGGTCCATTGAATACAATAGAAGAAGCTGTAAATAAAAAAAATAAATTAAAAAAATCAAAAAGAGAAGATTTAAAAAATAAATAATGAATGGAAAAGTGTTACATCTTATGAAGGCACATCTTTTTCAACGCCATATAGATTAGTGTTCTTAAAACATATTTTTCCACCTTTGCCCTTCATATCCATAGAGACCATATAACTTTTCGAAAATACTCTGAATTTTAAAAAAATAATATAACTGTTAGTTGGTTATTAATAACTTTTTCAAATATTTAATTTAAATAAAACAACCTTTTTAATATATTAAAAATAAATTGGTAGTCAAAATATAAAACATTTCTAGCATTTAAAAATAATTTCCGGGGTGGCCACATAAAATTTTTATAAGAAATTTTATGTGGCCATTTATTAATGGTTTAACGTCCATGTTTATACACTTATGGGGCTGGGACAGGGATCAAATAATGTCATTTATTATGTTAAATGGCATGCATTTTCTAAAGCAATTTTTTACATTTTATGCACTTTAAGGCATTAACCAGTTTTGCAGACCGAGAATGGGTATTTTGAACATTATACTTCCATCAAAAATTAAAAAAGGAAGAATTAATGAAAAGTTTTGATCAAATTTTAACCTCTTTAGAGGATAATAGAGGATTTTAGAAGTGGTTTTAAAAAAAAGAGGACTTTAGAGGATTTTAGAGGAGCTGCAGACACCCTGATTATAAATGAGGTAAGAGTCCATTACTGTTTTTGATTACCTCAGCATAATTTTGTGTATTCTATCTTTAGAAGACGTTCCACCAATTAACTAATTAATTTATCTGTAATTGATTTATCTGTAAAAAAACATGAAGTAAATCTAATATTATGCTTGTGGAGATATATTATATTGTGGAGAACCATCCAAACCACACAAATGGAAAATTTGCATCCAAGTTTCCACTTGTGTGCAAATCTTGCATCCACTTGTCAACATTCTCATTATCACATTTTTCTTTTGTAGTTGTGAATTGTGAGTTGTGTATTGTGAGTTGTGTATTGTGGAAAAAAATTTTCACAATACTATTCGCTTTCTTTTAGAATTGAATTAGTTATACAAATAGTTATATTTTTTGTATCAACAAAATAACTCTTTTTACCACATTATTTAAAAAATAAAAACTGTAATATATAGATGTAATACCTGAAGAGAATTTAGTTTTTATTTGTATAAACTTAAGCCAATTCTTCTCTGCATTTTAGTGCAGTCAATGCTTTGGTAACTGGAAGCCGACAAACAATTTTATAACTAATTCAATTAGATGGAATTACTTCTTCTTGTAAATCTTCATTCCAAACAGCTCCTTTCCGCATATTCGATTTTGAAAAAATTACATGAACTAATATAAAATGAAGAAACTGTAATATAAGTGTACTAACAGGCCTAATTAAACTAGCTAAATTTGAACATTTTATAATCATGATACTTGCTAAACAATAATACTAGTAGACATTATAAGCAAAGATAAGATTTTCTTTATTTTATAAATTTATAATCTTTTAAACTCATTTTTATTAATTTATTTATTACTCTATTATTTAGCAGAGTTCTGAATATATTATGTTCAAATAACTTAAGGCTCAATAACAAAGACAAATAATGAAAGAATACTAGGTTGCTAAAACATAAACATCTACATAAGATAATTATGGAATATTGAAAAAAAATAGAAATACAAAAAAACAAAAATACTCATTATTAATATAAAATATAATAGTATAATTTAAGGTATATTATAATATATGACACAATAATATCGACTTTTAATTAAAATATAAAAACAACAAAAATTAAAAAAGAAAATATTTTGATAAATAATAAATTATCATTCAAACAATTTTCAAGATCAAAAAATAACTTGTAACTTATTTTTTTACTTATCTTTATCTAATAAACATTACTTATTTTTCATTCATCTTCATCTAATAAACATTAATATTAATACCTATTTTAAACATTATTGGAATTTTTTTTTATCAAAAAATGAAAATATTACATCATTTACTTTTTGGGCTTTTCTTATTTTACTTAAAACATTAACTCAATTCTAGACTTTTTTCATAATTGAGTTTTAATTTGTAATGTTGAATTAACACTGAAAAAAAAATATTAGCAGACAAAAAGAAAATATTTCTTTATTGAAATATATGTAAATATTTCAATAAAGAAATTTTAGATTGATTTTTATAAATATAAATTTATATCAATTAATCTAAATTTTTTTCTTTTCCACCACCTTTTCGAAATGAAGCACATTTGCCATCAATTAAAGTTTCAGTCGTTCCATCGTATTTAATAGAAGAAGCTGTTAATAAAAAAGAATTAGAAAAAAAAAACAAAAAAAAACACAAGGAGAAATTTTTGAATATATAAAAAATGAGAATAAAAAAGTTTTTCATATCTTATAAAGGTATACCTTTCACTACACCATATAATTTAGTGCTCTTAAAGCATATTTCCACCTTTTCCCTTCATATTTATGGAGATCACAAAATTGTTGGAAAATATTCTAAACTTTAATAGATAAGAGAACTGATATTAATTATACGAGAACTGATATTAATTTTTTTTTTTTAATTTAAATTGAACTCATTATCAAACAATTTTTTTGCTAAATAATTTAATCCTTAAAATTCCTGAATAATTAAAAATTATTTTAATTACCTCAGCATTTTAAAGATATTCCATCAATTGCAATTGATTCACCTAAAAAACAACAACAAGTAAAGCAAATATTATTGTTTGAAATTTTAATTATCTTTATACAAATACTCATCATATTTTTAAAGTGACTGATAAAAATGGATTCAATTAAAATCACTTCATTTGTATTAAAAAATTAATATCAAAACCTTAATCATACATTATACAAGAGTATTTTGTAATACAATCTAAATAATTGTTGCGATATGTAATTTTTTTATCCGAAATTTAGCTTCTGTAAGCTTTAGAAATTTTTTAAAGAAATTATTGATGAATTTGGAGCTACGGGTACTAATGTTTTTATATTGCTGTAATGTTTGTATTCATTCCCTGTTAGTTTCTGTAAGTCAAAATTTTAAGGTGATTTCATAATAAATTTTGTTATATCTAAAATTTAGTGTTAGTCTGAATAATTTACTTTCTAAAATCTGTTTTGCATTGCCTGTCTTATAACATCTTTACTTGGAAAAAAAACCAAGTGGTTTAAAAGTGAGCTAGAAGCTTTCAACAATGAAGAAAATATTGCATTCGCTAATCCTAAATATATATTAAACCTGTCAGCAAAATCAGCTGTCAATAATCCAAGTATTAGCATCATTAAAAATTCATCTTTGCTGCATTGCATTTATTTCGGTCCAAGTAGTTAAGGATTTTTTTAAATTTCAAAAAACAGAAGTAAATGTTTTTTTTTAATATCACTTTATCTCTTTTGATTAATGGTGATACTGCACTAACTGATGAAACACATTATAAAAGTCGCAAGATCTATTATTTTTAAAATAAATGTTTGTATACAAGTAAATTGCAATAACACGATTTGTTTGGATTATGTTTATATACAAATTTGTCTGTTTTCATAGTAATAACTGATGTGGTTAAAGTTAATTTTTCATATAAATCTTTATTTTTTTATTTCGTGCTGAAGTTCTTTTTAAAAGTTATCAATTTCCTTTTTTAATTCTTGATGCTCTATTAAAAAACAACACTTAGCATTAAATTCAACATAATTTAATGGATCATTTTTTGAAAAAGTTGTATTATATTTAATAATATCAGTCTTTGAGCATTGTAGCCCAAGTTAAACAAAAAATATCGATTTTTAAACGATAATGTTCTTTCAGGAAAATCGTCTGAACATGTTTTCGATCTCTTGAAAATTCTATATGGTATAAGTTCAGTAATTACATTTTTTTTCCATTATAAATCTCTATAACTTTAACCGTTGAAATAATGTTTACGTTTTTAATTCCATTTCTGCGCTCTCATAAATTTTATATCGTATTTTTTGTCAACAATGATTGAAACAACCCAGTGGGCACTGGACCTAAAAATGACGTTTTTTAAACGTTCAAAAGACGTCCAAAACGTTCAAAAGACGTTCAAAAGACGTCCAAAACGTGTATAAGACGTTTAAAAGACGTCTTTTTTACTCCCGTGCCCACTGGGAATGACGTTGAAATAACGTTAAATAATCAACGTTTAAACTGTAACGTTGATTTAACGTTGAAATAACGTTAAATAATCAACGTTTAAACGGTAACGTTGATTTAACGTTGTGAAATAGTTGAACAACGTTGAAACAACGCTTCAACCGAATTTCAACGTTGAAACAACGTAATAATGCCGGCTGGGTAGTGCCTAAAGCAAAAATGTATAAAACTGATCAACTGTTTTAAAATAAAGGATTTTCTTTTAATTTTTATATTTTTCCATAATTGTTTTACTAATTAGTTTCTTACGTAATTACATTCTTACGTAAAGAACGTTTAAAAAACTTTTAAAAAACGTTTAAAAAACGTTTAAAAAACGTTTTAAAAACGTTTAAAAAACGTTTAAAAAACGTTTAAAAGACATTTAGAATGTAACTTTTAAAAACAAATGCCCGTAGGGATCTCGTTAAGTCTTTGAATATCAAGCTTTATTCTGCTTTAGACACTGTAGTACTGTATAAGTTAAACAAGCCTTGAAAATATTAGGAAAAAAGCTCTACTAGATCTTTAGAAATTTATGTTTTTGTTAACCAACAAAAAGAATTCTGGAAACTAAAAAAACAAAACATAAAGAAAAAAAATCTCAAAAATTTCCAAGTTGGTATGATTTCTCTCTTAGTAGTTATTTTTCTTTGTCCAAATAACCTTTTCTGGCAGCTCTAATTAACTTTCTTCTATTTGTAACCTCTTTTGTTGATTTTTAGTTCATATTTTGAATCCGTAGGATGTTTTTTTTGATTGAACCGATTATTGTTTTTGCTCCAAAAGACATTCCAATCTTATCAAAAAATTGCACTAATCCAGATAATTAAAAAAATTGCACTAATCCATCATTAAAATTAATTATTTCAGATGCAAATCTAATTTCTAAAGTGGTTTTTAAAACTAAATGTATCTTTAGGACATCTTTTTTACACAATTTGATTCAGAGCATCATCTAGGTTCTGAGTAGATCCATCTACACAGCGACACAAAATATCATCATTACATAAATTCTTAAAAAAAGGATAAATTGCAGTTTTTACTGCAATCGGAAAACTAAATGATGGCTTGTACTGCTTGATATATTTTCAGTAATTTCACCAACTATCATCAGTGCGGGAACAAAACTGGTGACGTATTTCAGGATCTTCAATACCGGTACAGCGCCATAACACTGCCATAACTCCTTTTTTCATCATGAACAAAGCAGTATTTTTGTTATCGTTCCAACAGGCAAAAAAATTTTGGAAAATGGTCTTGCCATAATAGTTTTGCATTTATTGACTATTTTATCCGTTTACCTTCATTTACCGTCTCTTTTGAACATGACCTACACATTCAGATTTAATCGGTTCTAAATCTTCACCATATGGCTTCAACTATTTAATATTTTTAAAAGATTCGGTATCACCATCACCAATATAATGAGAGTAGCAAATACAATATTATTCAATGGATGAAGAAAATATTTCTATTGCACCAGCAGATTCCAATGTTCCTGAGCTTTGGACATGATTCAACTTACACTAATGCATTCAACTTACACTAATGCGTTATCCATTTATCGCATGTAGTAATTATTTTTCGATTTACCCAATTTAAACATCCTTCGCAAAACTTTGAAAAATTCTTGTAATCAAATAACTTTTTGTTTTCTTTTGAAATAGCAGTAACAATAATATTTAGTGAACAATGGCCACGCTTTTGCCACAAACCATCCAAACTTATTCGACAATCAACAATGTCGGTTTCGATATTATCAGGTTTTAATGTACACCTTAAATCTTCAACTGCATCTTCCATACTAGTAAACAGCACAGCCAATACAAAAAGGTAAAAGAAATGTGTTAGTATCATCATATGCTGAATGAGTTATTAGTGCAGGCATATTCAAAATGGTTGCAAAAGTTTTAAGTGCTTCATGTCTTTTACCTTCGTTTTCCTTTTCACGAAATGCAATTACTGATCTTACATTTATTTTAGATGTTTTTTTACCACCATTATCATTTCAAGTAAGTTGAATGTCAGTAGAGGAGAAATATATATGAAACCAGCTACAGTTAAGACAAGTAAATGGAAACTGGATGTTAAACCCTTTATTTTGGAATCTTTATGACAAAGATTTATATCTCTGCTGTTGCAAGAGGAACATGCACAAACTTTACTCAATAGCTTCTTAAATTTGTAAAAGTAAAAAAAAAAAAAAGAAAGTTAGGATCAGAATTAATAACTGAGAGTTTGTTTATTGATTTATTCAATTTTGCAGAACTAGTAGATGAATGAGATTCTTCTTCATTGTTTATATATTAATCTGCTGGAAGAACATTAATCTTTATTTGTTGTTGATTTTTTGTTGTGGTTGTTGTTGTTGAATGCTGATTTTTTGAAATTACTCCTTCTATTTTTGACTAAGTTCCTTTTATTTGTCATCCAAAATAAGAGCAATAAAATCAAAAAGTGTTTTAAAAAAAACTATAAAAGCACTGCTAAATTTTAAATCTTACCCAGCGGGCACGGCAACGTCCATTTGACGTCGAAAGGACGTCTTTTTAGGACGTCCAGAACTGGTTCTAAATGGCAACGCCAGATGACGTCTTTTAAAGACGTAAATAAGACGTCTTTTTAGGACAGAAAAAAGACGTGATTTGAGACGTCTAAAAGACGTAAATTTAGGACGTTCACAACTAGCCCAGCGGGTATTTTGACGTCCTAAGGACGTCCGTAAGACGTCTTAGGTCTCGTCCGTAAGACATCCTTAGTTGGTCTCAAATGAAAGGCTTGAAGACGTCTATTCCATACGTCTTAGAGACGTTTTTTGCAGACGTTCTAGAGACGTCTCTGGCTGGTCTCATATGAAAGACTTAAGGACGTCTTTTTCAGACGTCCTAGAGACGTTTGAATTTTACCAAGACATTCTTTTAAAAGTTATATAAAAATGCAATGATTTACAACACACACATTAGATTTGCCTTAATCTAGACAAGGGAAGTTATAAAAAGAAATCAATGTAAATAAAGTGTAATTTGATATATTTAAAATAAATTAATATCTTTACACAAAATAAGATTAATTTTTCAAACAAAGTTACATTTTTCAAATTAAAAACTAAAAGGTACTGTAGAATATAATCGATAGTGCAATATAAATAGAAAAAAATTGCTTAAAAATGGAAAGAAAAAAAATAAAAAATACAACAGTTAATTAAGCCAACATAGATTGAAATACATATTAGTCGATGTTCTCTTTAATCGGTCAGAAGAATGCCTAATTACTCTCCCAATAAGTTAGATAGCATCCATTTTGGATAGCTTCTAATAAAAACAACAAAACATGTTTCAATAAGATCATAAAATAAAATATATATGTCATACATACAATTGAATACATCCCAGCGGGCACAGACGTAAATCAAACGTTCTACGGACGTCTAAACTAGGTCGCAACGTCTCAGACCAAATTAGGACGTCCTATAGACGTCTGATAAACACGTCTTTTTTATGACGTCCTTGTGACGTTAATATAAAGACGATATTAGGATTTTCATATT